TGTGCTATATACCAACCTCAGTATTATTTCTTTTACCCAATAATTTAACTGAGACAATCTGATGCTCTTCAAAACTACTCAAGACCAGGACAGCAGGATGATTTGTTTCCATGACATAGAACATATAGTTAACATCTTTTCCTTATGTATCCTCTGAGTTGGGTTGTTCCTCAGTTCTCCCCTACACTGTTAGCATGCCATTGTTCAAATTCAGAATATCTTGTGTTGGATAACTATTTTCTTCCAAATCCTTAAGAGTGGGACGATGTTACTTTGTTTTCCAGTACCAATATTCACCTTTCGATTTGTGGGCATGTTTGTCACCCTCATTCTAATCTGAATTGCTGAGTGAATTTCTTTTACCAGGTATTTTATACAGCTCTAACTTTTGCCAGATCTCAACAACTTGAAATGTTAATGACCTTTCTCTCCATTCTCTGTTATTATTGCAATAAACCAATCTTTCTTTCCAAGTAGTGAGTAATTATAAATGTCAAGTTTAATGTCTTCACATTGTCAATTGTTTTAGAAGATTTTTAAATGTCAAATTTTATTTATCTTCTAACTTTTCCTTTCTGTCTCTTTCTAAATCTAATCTTCCTCCTCTCTATTTATCCTTTTGTATTAGATTATATTCAATTCACCATCCTTTTCAGTTGTTCTATGTTGTTTCCCCAGTTCTTAAACATTATTTCTTAAAGAGTATACTGTTTGTTCCGTTGTTCACCAAGGCTCCAAAGCCAGGTTGCGCTATTGTGCTGCTTTAAACTTGCAACTTTGTGATCAAACCCTCAATTTCCTAACTAACTAATTAACTAACAGGCTTGTTGCAAATGGAAATATCTGGGCCAGCATATGTAAGGGTAACCCAAATAAGATTCCCATTCTGCTGAAGGAGATGATGTTCAACTTGGGGTATGTTTTTTTTAAATTAATTTACAGAATGTAGGTGTTGCTGGCTGGGCCAGCATTCATTACCGATTCCTAACTTTCCTCAACTGAGTGTCTTGCATTTCAGAGGGCAGTCGACTACATTGTTAAGGGTTCTTATGTCCATGTAGGGCAGACCAGATACAGATAGCAGAACTTTTTTTCCTAAAGCAGATGAATTCTGGCTAACAAAAGAAGTCAATCAATAAATTCTCATAATGTAAGCCAGCTTCTGTATTTTTAAATAATTGCTTCTACTGTCCAGCACAAAATTAAAATGTGTGCAGCCTTCAGACTAACAAAAGTTCAATCCGTTTTGATGTTAATAGGCCCAGTTTTCTGAGTTTTGTACAAGATTCCCTCATGAAGGTTGAGCGACGTGCATCGTTCTGTACCAATTCAATAAAGAACGTAGGAAATGCATGGGCCAACATTATGGAACTTGCTATTTCCTGCGTCTTTATTCCAATAAATGGTGGACATTTGTACAAGGGGTAGGAGGTTCACAATCTGAGTTATAAGGTGAGTGAATGATGGGAGTCACCAGTTACTTCTTTGGTGGTGCCTGTCAGCATCCTGGTGCTAAGTCTGAAAATAGCCCTACAAGTGGCTCTGAAGAATCCACTGCTAAATTTCTGTCTGATATTGTTCATGTTTTGGAACGTCTGGTGCATTTTGGTGGAACCGAATGTGTGACAGATGTGATGCTTACTTAAGAGACAGTGTCTACTTCAGATCTGACCTTGCTCATTGATCTATGTGGATGCAGACCCATGAATAGCAACGAGGACAGCGAAGTCTCACTTTGAAAACTCTCAATCTGACATTGCCAACATGGAATCATAGAATTGTACAGGACAGTGGAGGCTCTTTGGTCCATTACGTCTGTACTGCCAAAACTAAATCTACAACTGTCCCACCTTCAGCACTAGCCCCATAGCCTTGAAAATTATGATATTTCAAATGCTCGTCCAAGTACTTTTTAAAGGTTGTGAGGTTACCGGCCTCAACAACCCTCCAACCCCTACTGTCCATTCCAGATCCCCAGCACCCTCTGGGCGAAAACATTTTCCTCAAATTTCCTCTAAAACTCATGCCTTTCACCTTAAAAAAGTGCCCCCACCCCTTGTTATTGACCCTTTGATTGAGGGGAACAGCTGCTTTTTCTTCAACCTGTTCATCGCCCCTTATATCTTATACAGCTCAATCAGGTCTCCCCTCAGCCTTCTCTGCTCAGAGTAAACAAGCCGAACTTATCCAGCCTCTACTCATAGCTAAAGTGTTCTATCTTAGGGAACATCTTGGTGAACCATCCTTGTACCCCCTCCAGTGCAATCACATCCTATAGTGTGGAGACAAGAACCATATTAAAACCAAATTGCAAGCCAAGTTTTCTGTAGCAGCAGATTGAGCATTCCTGAGAGATACATTGACTAGGATCAGGACTCCAAAACTCACGGTCTGCTGAAGCTAGTCTTGGAGTTAACACATGTTCTGTGGTGGAACTGTAGTTTTGAAAAGTTATCGTTCATGACTGCACCAATGTACAAGTGGACTATTTTAGACCTGTCCTCTGAATTTGAAGGTGTTTGGAAAATCTAACAATTGTAAGGAATATTGACAGCAGTAGCATCCTTTGTTTTAGAATTGTTTTAGAATCATATTTGAAAAATCAGTGGGTTCAGCATCTGGGAAAGCACTTAAGATGTTTCTTGTATATCTTTGGATGTCTGCTTTCACCATCCGTTTCAGCTGATAAACTAATCTCAGAGCTATCATTCTTTGATGTTAATTTTTTAGAGTTTTCTACAGCAGACATATATAACTTGGCTTGTTTACAGTCTTGCTTTGATGTGCTATAGGAGTGTGCAACTTATACTTTCAGATGTATATAGAAAAAGAGAAGAAAGGTATATTAGAATGATGATTAAAAGGCCTCTTTGATATTTTGTAACCATTGGTGTATGTCATGTATGCATACATTCACATGAATGAATGTTTAGGTGAGTAATCATGGAGAAGAAGGGTAACAAAAAGATAATGCTTGCTCTTATCTTGAAATCCACTTGCTTCATCACTACTTGTTGTTGGCTGTTATTACCAATTGTAAAGTTTTAATTAGAAAGATCTCTGCTTAATTCGTGTTTTCTTTTCTAATTACATGCCAATTTGTTTTATTGTCTGTAAAGATTCAGGAACTAGCCAAAAACCAATTGTAAGTGTTACAACTCATGATGTTCTGATGTGTAAGGTTTGTGGGTAGCATAATACTGACCTAGAGATAGCATGAACTGCAGATGCTGGAGTCAGAGATAACACAGTGTGGAGCTGGAGGAACACAGCACACCAGGCAGCATGAGAGGAGCAGGAAAGCTGACGTTTTGGGTCAGGACCCTTCTTCAGAAAAAAAAACACTGACCTACAGTCTTCTAAGCTGGCAGCTGGCATATTGGATATAAACAAAATTAAAATAATTTAAATTAAAATTAAACTGATTATTTCAAACATCTGAGAACGGAAAGACAACCAGAACTCATAACATAGTGGCAACATTTCAATCTAACTTTGATACCACACTAGTGCTAGAAAATAAAACTGAGTGAATCATATCAAAATGCAAAAACAAAATGTCGACGTGGGCAGCGATGAATGTGAAACTACAGGTCACGTGATACTGGTGTTAGCACAGAGACCATTGAGAATTAGAATAAGAAGTGTAGATTGTCATTCAGTTTATGCTAAAAGCTACTAGTCATGAAGAGATGCTCAGCTATATCCTTCTGTGGGTTGGAGACAAATTATTAAATTTCATTTAATAGCAGGGAGTTAAGTGAAGAAGGCAGCAAAAACACAGACAAAATTTTTGCAAGATTCAGTACCCATTTCCAATTGTTGTCAACTCCACAGATCTATCAATTTTAATTTCAAGACCTCAGGTAGGAGATAGCTGAGTCTATTGACTGACAACTCTGGAACAACACTGAAAAATTTGGCCAGAAAATGTAAATTTAAGGGTAAAGAAAAATTGATATAGCAACTAATCTGAAATACTGAGAGCAACTGATTGGAAATATAAAACGTCCAGTATCACATGCTTTGGTGATAGCTGCAGTCTGCAAGGCCATAAGGGGACAGATAATGACACTCCTTACCCAAATGGCTAGCCTTCAGTTAAGCCAAGAAAAAGGCAGCAGATTGCTTGAAGTGGAACAGCAACTGAACAGCATAAACAAGACAGAGAGAAAGATGTACAGGATATGTGGATGACCACATGAATTTGCAGGCAGAAAATGTCTTGCATATGGAACAATCTACTGATCTTGTTGAAAGCAACTGGAAAAACATTTGCAGAATAAAGTCACCAGAGCCAGAGCAACAGGATGAATGGATAAAAGAAACCCAAAACATTCATGTTCTGGAAGATGCTGGTGAATTTAAGAGTACAATAGGCACAGGAACTTAATCTCTTGCATTTAATATAGGTCCCTTTATTCTAAACACCAACGTCAGTGAAATCAATCTGTGACCTGAAATGGTTGGCTACTGATAATGGCTATCTCAACTAACTGCATAGTAGTACATTTTTTGCTTTGCTCCAGGGCTTCAATGTATTGACATCTGTAACAAGTGAGAGTTACTTCATAGCAGTTACTTTCTAATTACCAAATTTTGGTGGTTCAAATAGTTATTCTCCCTCATGGACAGAGGTCTTCAGCACACTAAATTAGAGCATTTACCTTTCATCTCCAGGCACTAGATTTGATTTAGCTTAAAGGGATGCATAGCTGGTACAATTCCTGTATGGGTAATCTCAATCGAATTTCTATTAAGTATAGTTCTGCAGGATAAAATGCTTCCAAAAATATTAACAACGACCATGGCAACTGTAATGAGATTTGCTACAATCAGAAACTCAAATTATAGGAAGAGTAATATCTGTCTGCTTCAGAATTTAATTCACAGCTTGGAACAAATTTTAGATAAAACAAGTAGTTAATTTTGCTAAATTAGCATTTTTTAATATTAGTACATAAGAACAATTGTAACTCTACTCATTTTCTCATACTTACGGCTTTTTAAGTATCTTCATTAGGATTTTGACTTTTTTCTGGATATGCTTTGGTACATCCTCCATGTTTTTCTCGTCCAGCAGTTTATTCAAGTAATCTTGATCTTTATTTACTAATTCCCTTGTATTTGAGTTCTGGTGCAACGTGCTGCTTAACAGACCAAAAAATCAAAGGCAAAAATAAATACTCAAAGTTAAAATGGTTATTTAAAATAAAAGTTTAAACAATTTTCTTACTTAAATTGTTATGAACCAGACCAAAGCCCCCTTTAAATATATCAAGGACATAGCCTAGACCCTAAGTTTTATCTTATTTAAAGTTAAGTGTAAGGTGCTGTGTTCCACATGTCATTCAATTGGTTACACTACTCAGCTTTAAGCAAAACACACTTTATTCTTATCCCAGTTAAAATACAAACAAAAGAAAGCAGAACTGGTATAACTTTAACTCTACTGGAAAACTTAACAGAATAATAGATTATTTAACTACTAACCAGCAACTGTTCCAGCATAATAACAATCTGTAAACACACCCTTAGCAAAGGCAAATTCACTAAAATAGATTGTCACTATTTCTCCAGTCCGGGAGGAAAAATAACCAAAAGAAAATTCTGGCAAAAAGAGAGGTATGGCAGCTTTCACAACCAACTTCAAAACCCCAACAACAGTCTGTGGCTTTCTGACTCACTCATTATGCTGCCTCTATTGTTCTAACATTACAACAAATGGCTCTCACAAGCCGTTTATTTTATTGGTTTGGAAGAGATAGTTCATCACTGCTATCTTAAAACCTCTACTCCAAAACAACCAGGACAAAAACATCCTTAAAGCCATAGTATCATCACAAAATGCATACTGACAGATTTGATGAGAAGTAAATTATATCACATTTTGCAACTGACCTACAAGTCCTGAGACTTAAGCACATAATTCACATAATACTTCAGTGAAGTACTGAAGGAGCCAGAGATGTTGTCTTTTAGCTGAGATATTAAACATGGGTCTTGACTACACAAGCTTTTAGACAGACAAGGCACTATTATTATTAGAAAGAGAAGGGGAATTCTCCCCATTAAGTTTTGTCAAACTATCTTCAGCTACTTCATCAATGACCTACCTGCCATCATAAAGTTGAAAGCAGGGATATTCGATTAAGGTTGTATGGTGCATTGCACTGTTCACAACTTCTTAAATAGGTAAAGTCCCAGAGGACCATACAGCTGTTCTCTTATTAAACAGAGAGAGAGAGCTGGTGGTGAGTTTTAACCTGAGGATCACCTCAGGAGAGGGGCAAGGTTGAAAAAGCCCAACTTCCATGGTGACCTCAGAAAGTACAGGTATTGAATCTTGTTGTTGGCATTACTCTGCATCACAAGCCAGCTATTCAAGCTAACCAGCCCGTGACTCCTTAGATACTGAAGCAGTTGTGTCCATATGCAGCAAAATATGGACAACACTCTGGCTTAAGGAGATAAGTGATATGTAACAGTTTTGCCACGTAAGTGACAGATAATGACCATTTCCAACAAGAGATAATCTAACCATCTCCCTTTCATGTTAAATCATCCATGAATTTGTCAGCATCAACATATGGGATTTTACCACCGACCAGAAATTTAGTTGCACCAGGCACATGAATACTGCAGCTACAAAAGCAGGTCAGAGGCTGGGACTTCTGAACCCTGAACGTCTATCCAACAGCTAAGAGGCACAAATCAAATGTTTGATTAAATTCTTTCAACTTGAATGAGTGTAGCTGCAACAATAATCAAGGAGCTCGATAGCATCCAGGTCAAAGTGGCCTGTGAACTGACACCCCATCCACCACCTTAAAACCGCACTCCTTCGGTCACTGGTAGTGGTTGTAAAGAGTACCATCTACAAAATGCACTACAGCAATTCACCTCTTTCGCTCAGACAGCACTTTGGGATTGAGGATGACCTTCTTTCACTACAGAGTTGTAATGATTAAACAGTTCATCTGGGCAGATGGCACTTAGAATCATAGAATCCCTACAGTGTAGAAGTAGGCAATTTGACCCATTGATTCCACACCGACCCTCCAAAGAGCATTCCACCCAGACCTGCGATCCCCTGTAATCCTGCATTTCCCATAGTTAACCCATTCAGCCCGCACATCCTTGGATACTATGAGCAATTTAACATAGCCAATCCACCTATCTGCACATCTTTGGGCTGTGAAAGGAAACTGGAGCACCTAGAGGAAATCCACACAGACAAAAGAAGAATGTGCAAACTCCACATGGACAGTTGCTCAAAGGTGGAACTGAATCCGGCTCCATGACGCTGTGAGGAAGCAGTGCTAATCACTGAGCCACCGTGCTGCCCCTTGATTCAGATGCACGTGATGCTTGGACTTAAGCACACTCCTTCCACTTCTTCCACTTAGCCTCTTTCAAGTCCTGTTGAAGATGCCCAGATTGGTTTGCAGCTTTGAGGATACTTTTTCTCCAATATAAGCAGTCGTGGGTTATAGATTCCCACAAGTCAATGGGAACATTGCAATTTTTTTAGGGAAGCTTTGATGACATCCTTGCAGCATTTCCTCTGCACTCCTAGTTACCACATGCCACGATGAAGTTTGGACAGCTTGTTTTGGGGGCCTTGTGTCTGGCATGTGGACAATGTGGTCTGGCCAACACAGCTGATTTACTATAACCAGTTCCAAGATGTTAGAGATGGTGACCTGAGAGTAACATTTATGTTACAGCACCTATCCCGCCAGTGGATTTGCAGCACTTTGCAGAAACATCATTGGAGATATTTCCCAAGGGATTTGAAGTGTCTCCAATGCACAAAGGAGGACTGATGACACTCTCCTCATAAACAAAAATGACCTCTTAATGTTTACCCTTCCAAAACCACTAAGAACCTTATATGTTTCAATAACATTGCCTCTCATTCTGCTAAACTCCATGAGTACAGGCCCAACCTACTCAACCTCTCCTCATAAGAAAATCCATCCATACCCCAAATCAACCTAATGAATCTTCTCTGAGCTGCCTCGACATTGATCCACATTGTCCAGTGGCTCATCGTTGTAAGAATTAAATAAGTTATAAGAGACTGTCAGAGTTGAATAGGGATTTCTATGTTCACGGTAAAACCAAGCAAGAATTCTCCAGAAAATCCTTGTACAACATTAAGGGCAAGATCAGCAGAATCCTCCAGAAAGGCCTTGAGGAATCATAGAAAATTATCTAGTTAGAACAGAGAAGTAGGGGGATGAGAATAAACTGATAAATGTGGACCTGTTGGTTGTCAGATGTCAAGTTACTTATTCAAGCTCATGTTGGCCTGTGTTGTGCTGAGGTAGGGATGGGTAGCATGCAGGGGATGAGGTCCATGCACTCACATTGAGCAACAAGTCACAGTTGAAGAGATCCTTGGAATGCTTCTTCTTTTTCTTTGATATGGACCATTCCATTCTTCATTCTCTGTTGGGTAAATCCTTGGGTGCTCGGATTGTAGATGGTCTTGGCTGTACTGAGGAATCCATGCATCTATTGGTGAGTTGTTGGATTCTCTTCACCTTTCACACCCCATCACTAGTTCTTTAGATCATAGATTCATTTGTTGGGGCTCAGACTTCATTAGTCTGTAGAACTGCTTTCTTTCCCTCAAATTTTGGTGCTTTTTCCAGTTCAGGAACATCTTGTGCTTGCGATTTAGTAGCCTTAAGATCCTTTTGTGAATCTCTTCAAACCAGTCTTGATGTTTCCTGGTAGAGAAACCCAAGTCTTCTCACCTGCACTATTTCTGATTAAATTAAGTGCAGACCAGAAGTTGTAGACATTCTGTGGACACTCTTCATTGAGCATCGACAGGTTGGTCATGAGGCACGGAGTGAACAGATCTTTCTTTGACTCTATCAACATTGAAATTTTTGTACAATGCTTCCGCTGCTGCCATTACGAGATCAGGCTGATGGCCAGAGTAGACCAGATTCGACAATAGTCAGTTCAACAGTCATCATATCTTGTCATGGCAGAGATAGTGCAAACATCCTTGAGAACACTCACTTGGACAGTGAAACAAGCAAACTTGGAACAATTTTGCCAATCTTGGATTAAAGCTATTACCATGAGGTCTAGTATTTGGCCTTTTGACATAAAAGGGTGTTTTTTGTGACCAGGCCATGTTCTAGGTATTTTGTCAGGAGGAGGAATCTTTTGCTGTTTGCTTCTTCAATGCCTTCCTTGCGAATCAAGCCTTTCCAAAAATGTGAGTCAGCGTGTATGCCTTTAAGACACGGGGAAATGAATGATCAAGGTACGTGGGGACAATGTAACTTCAAGTTCTACTCCAAGTCACATACAAACAAGGCTTGAAAACTTAAGCCCTTCCAAACTGACTGGGTCAAAATCCTCAAATTCCCATCCTAATAGCACTGTAGGTCCACCTATATGCAAATATACTGCACCAAAAAGCTGGCTTATCACGACTTTTTCAAACACAATTTAGAATCAATAATAAATCGTTGCCTTGCAAGCAATGTCCACATTTCATGAACAACTGTGAATAACATTAGTTTAACTCATCCTGTTAAAAAACGTCAAGATTAGTAATGTTCCTCAATTAAATATAGCAGTGTTTCTGTTTCTATATTTTTCCATTCTGCCTTCATTTCTTTGAATTTCATTTGTTTAAAACAATATATGTTTATCTTTGTCCTTACTGGTACTTGCAAGATAGGTTGGATTTCTCACCTCATTGTTAGCTCAGGAATCTTAGGTAGCAAGCGTTTTGGTTGAAGGAATATACTTCGATATAGGTGCATGAATGTAAGATGCGCCTCAGGTTTTGTATAACGATTTTCCCTAAAAATAAAGCAAATAAAAATCTTATTTACCTGCAACATCCACTATTTCTACTGGAAACAAATCAACAAATCTTCAATTTTTAGAAGTCAATTCTGGGAATGTAGACATCGCTGGCTAGGCCAGCATTAATTTATTTATAATTAATTGTCCTTGAAAGGGTGATGGTGTACTTGCTTCTTAAATCACTGCAGTCCACTTGGCATGGGTATTTCCAGAATGCTGTTAAGAAGGGAGTTCCAGGATTTTGACCTAGCGACACTGAACAAACAGTGATATATTTCCATGTCAGGACAGTGAGTGTCATGAAGGGAATTTGCAAGTAGCGGTGTTCCCATGTATCGACTGGCCTTGTCCTTCTAGATGGCAGTGATAATTCTCCTCCTTTGAAAATATATCATTTCTTTAGTGCACTGTCAAAATCCTGAAACTCCCTCCCTAATGGCGTTGTGGGTGCACCAACACCAAATGGATTGTAGCAGTCCATGAAGACAGCTCAACAGTACCTTCTCAAGGACAATTAAGATGGCAAAACAATGTATACCCAGCCAGCAACCCCACATCCCATGGATAAATAAAACATAAGGTATGATCCGACCAGTGGAGGCTTTTCTCCAATTTCCATTTACTCCAATTTTTTTCAGGCTCATTGATGCCACACTCATTCAATTGCTGTGGTGATGTCAAGGGCAGTCACTCTCAGTAGACTTTAGGAGTTCAGCTGTTTTGTGCATGTTTAAACTAGGGCTGCATGAGGTCATGAACTGAGTGATCCTGACAGAATCAAAAGTGAGCATTACTGAACAGGTTAATGCTGAGCAAGTGCTACTTGACTGCACTGTTGATGACCTCTTTCATTACTTTACTGATGATTAGGGTTAGAGGGATGATGCAGTAATTGGCCATGTGGTTTGGTGCAACTTTTTGCCTACAAGAAACAAATGGGGAATTTTCCACATTGCTGCAGCTGTACTGAAGCAACTTTGCCAAGGGCAAAGCACATTCTGGGGCAAAGATTTTCAGCACTATTGCCAGAATATTATCAGAGTCCATAACCATTGCAGTATCCAGTGCATTCAGTCATTTCTTGATATCGCATGGAGTGAATTAAACTGTTTGAAGATTGGCATCTATGATGCTGGGTAATGCAGATGAAGCCAGGATGAATAATACACTTAGCAATTCTGGCTGAAATATGATGTTAGTTCCCACAGAATAGAATTTTAACTTTCAGTAGTAGTTGAGGTTTAGAAGCTGCTATACATTTCTCCTTGCTTTAGCAAAATGCTTGAGTTTTCTCTCTCTCTCTCTCTCTCACTCTCACAGAGTTTTCTCTTGATACTCTTTCTTGCTGTACTGGAGAATTGTATGTGAGACAATCTACTTTACTGAATTTGCCTTTGCCAAAGGTGTGTTTATGGGTTGTTACCATACTGTAACAGTTGTTGCTTAGTAGTTAAATAAGCTATTGTTAAGTTTTCTAATAGAGTTGAGTTATTCCAATTCTTCTTTCTTTTGTTCGTATTTTAACTATAGTGTAAGAATAAAGTGTGCTGTGCTTCAAGCCTTGACCAATTGAACTGTATCCGGAACACAGCACCTTACACTTGCCTTTAAAAAGAAGAAAAAAATGGGGTCTAGTCTGTCTTGTTAATATATTTTCAGGGTATTTGGTCTGTTTGCAAATGCTTCAGCCTTATCTTTTGCACTTATGTACTGGACTCCCACATCATTGTGGATGGGGATATTTGTGCAGCCTCCTCATCTAGCTGTTTAATTGTCCAGTATCATTCACGACTGGGTGTGGCAAGACTGCAGAGCTTAGATCTGGTCTATTGGTTGTGGGATCCCTTACCTCTGTCTATCATTTGCTGCTTGAGCTACATAGCAAGCAAGTTGCTCTGAGTTGTAATTTGACCAGGTTAGCACTAATCTTTTATTGAGTCTGGTACTGCTCCTGGCATGCCCTCCTGCGCTCTTCATTGAAGCAGTGTTGATCCCGTGGCTTGATGGTAATTGTAGAGTGGGGCATGAGGTTACAGGTTGGGGTTGAGTACAGTTCTGTTACTGCTGATGGATCATGGCACCTCACAGATACACAGTCTTGAATTCCTAGACCTTTACGAAATCTATCCCAATTAGCACAATAGTAGTGCCACACAACACGATGGAGATCGTCGTAAGTGTGAAGTCAAGACTTGGTCTTCAAAAGGACTGCACGGTGGCCACTCTTATTGATACTTTCAGGGACAGATGCATCTGTGACAGGCAGATTGGTGAGGATAAGGTCAAAAACATATCTCCCTCTTAGTGGTTCACTCAGCACCTGTCACAAACTCAATCTCACTGATTTGACCTTTAGGGCTCAACCAGCTTGGTCAGTAATGGTGCTGCCAAGCCACTCTTGGTGACGGATGTTGATTCTCCACCAAGATTACATTTTACAATCAATAAGAATGGAAATAAAATAAAGTACACAATGATTTAGTTGAAGATTATTTATAGATTTGGAGAACAGTGCTGCTCCTGTTGATAACCGCAATAAATTCATCACTAGACCAAAAGCAAAATATTATGGATATTGGAGATTCTGAAACAAATAAAGACAAACTCAGCGGATCTGGCAGCATCTGTGATAATGCCAAAAAGATTGTGTGTCAGAACTCCAAGGAGGTGGAAAAATGACAGGTTTTCTGCTGTAGAAAAAGGGGGAGGAGCAAGTGGAACAGCAGGGATGGTCAGGGATTATTTTAGAGGTGAAGGAGAATAGAGCTTAATGGTTTCACAGAATAAAAAGTAAAGGGAGTGGTAACAGTTGCAGATAATGTCATTAATTATAATTATAAATGATAATATTAAATTAATCACCAGCCTAATGTCTACTTAGTTTATTATACACATATAAAACTAATAACAACAGTTACAGATTATATTCTGGAGACCTACAAAACATGACCACAGCTAGCACATTAAAAGAACAATTGACTAGCTTCCAATTATTTCAGCTTCTAAAACTTTCTTCAAGTTTTCTTTGTTACTTCTCAGCTGGTTTGCTCTTGTTGCTCCACAGAAAATGATAGGCTTTTTATGGCCTGGAACAGAAATTTTCACCTTTTATTTCTCTGCTCAGAAATCTAGAAAAATAATTTGAAGATGGCTCATTGCTTGTCTTTCCAGCTCTGGGGCAGAAAATTAGGCCTGGAATTTCGAGGCCCAAATAGAGGCAGGGGACAGGAACAAATGGCTGCCATATCTTACATGCTGATGTCCCACCTCCCTTCTATTTGCTACATTTCCACAAGGCTGGAGTGAGTCGAGGCCTGTAAACTCTTCGCAACTCCTCAAAGCCTGTCTCTCTGAAGCTTGCTAGATTTGGTTATGAGACCAGTGTTTGGGAGCTGCCTGGCTCAGACCAATGGAGACAGGCATGAATCACATCAAGGAGGATAGCAAAATTTCTGACCACAAGTCCAATGTTGACCATAGGTGAAACAGCTTACTCCTGCTGTGGAGCGATGCGACAAACCACCAGCACACTCAGGTACAGGCTACAATCATTTATCCAGGCAAACACAGGGAGTATCAGCCTTAGGCAGTCTAAGACTGTACTCTAAAAATCCACAACTATTCACTCCTTATATACACCTTTGATCACTTTCACATGCTATCCTTCAATTCTCCAATTTACAATCACATGCTAAACAAATTCCCGTCTTCAGTTCTTTGTTCCTCTGTGCACATTCACCAGGCATTGTTCTCATCCATCCAAGTCTTCGCATATTTCACTGATTCCTTGTTTCTATCACCTACTCCCTTCACTCGCTGCCCATGACCTTTGCCTTACTGGCTTGACTGCTTAATTCTTTTTCAGTCCAGAAGACATCTGATAATCTGTTGTTCTGTTCTTTACTGCATTCATCTTATTTTATGAAAAGACACTTCTAACTGAAACCATTTAACCTATTCACCTCTTTGAGACAAAAGTGGTAGTAGCCCATCACAGATCACGAAAGGAATCAGTATTTACCGGATCACCCCCGGATTACATTGACATCAAAATTGTGAACAAGATTTTTTGGACCATCTAAGCAACCAGGAAGGCTGCAGAAACAGACATTGCAACCTCAGAATTTGAGGCCATTCAAGATGAAGAGCATCTGCCTGCACAGGAGAGAGGCATAGCCCCAGAAGAGGTGCTAGACTCAAAAGAGAAACAGACTCCACCCTCAGCAAAGGATCTATTAGCAGAGGCCACGATACCTCAATCCAGAGGTGACCCTGAGTCTTCATACAGATGATTATGTACAACTATGCCATTGCCAATGTGGACCTCCAATTCCATGTCACTGATCACCACGTGCTGCCAGTAGTAATCAAACAAGCAGTGGCGTTGAATTCTTTTACCACTAGATTCTTTCATAGGGCAGCTGCAGACCTCTGCAGGATCTCCACTAACATCTGCACATCAGTGTATCGCCTAGGTGACACATACTACTTTCACCAAAGCTGGACACACATCAGATTTACAGCTGATGGAGGTTCACAGGCGCAAAGGGAATGGGTCCTGTGCATGGACTGATGAGATGTTGCCCTCCAATGCCCTCCTGAAAATATCTTGATAGTTGTGATGGTCTTTGCAGACTCAAGAACAAGATCTTCCAGAGACGTGTGAACCTTGAGATGGTAAGGTTCTGGAAGGGCCATTTGGTGATGAGCCGGAGGAACAGAGGAGAAATTGGAGTTGCAGGAAGATGACGCTGAACAGGCAGATGCCCCTGCTGTACAATAATGCAGTCTCATCCAGCCACCATTGATTGATTTATTGATTTTATTGTCACGTGTACCGAAATACAGTGAAAAGCCTTGTTTATGAGCGGTACAGGCAGATCACAGCAAGCAAGGGATGTACAGATCAAAAAGACTTAGAGGCATACAGATTACATTGCAGGTTACATTATTTGAGGTTAGAGTCCATTCAACAGTCTGATAACCGCCGGGAAGAAGCTGTTCCTGAACCTGCTTGTGCATGTGCTCAGCCTTCTATATCTTCTACCTGATGGAAGAGGTTGTAGGAGGTCATTATCAGGGTGCAATGGGTCTTTGATGATGTTGGCCGACTTTCCATGGCAGCGAGGAGTGTAAATAGAGTCCATGGATGGGAGTTTGGCTTCCATGATGGTCTGGGCTGTACACACAACCTTTTGTAGTTTCTTACGGTCCTGGGCAGAGCAGTTGCCATACCAGGCCATTATGCACCCAGACAGTCAATGGTGCATCTGTAGAAGTTGATAAGGGACCTTATTTCCTGAGCCGCCTGAGGAACAGGAAGCATTGTTGTGCCTTCTTGACTGCCACATTTACGTGGGAAGTCCAGGACAGGTCGTCAGTTATCGTCACTCCGAGGAAGTTGATGCTCTTTCACCCTCTCAATCTCAGTTCTGTTGATGTAGATGGGGGCATGTTCTCCTCCTTTCTTTTCAAAGTCGATGATCAGTTCTTTGTTTTTGCCGATGTTGAGAGATAGATTGTTTTCATTGCACCACGTCACTAAGTCTATCTTCCTCTGTATTTTGACTTGTCGTTGTTAGATATTGGTCCCACTACGGTGGTGTCATCAGTGAACTTGCAGATGGCATTCATTTGGAATTTGGCAACACAGTCATAGGTGTACAGGGAGTACAGTAGGAGGCTGAGTACGCGCCCTTGGGGAGAAGGTGCAGTTACCTATCCTCACTGATTGCGGCCAATGGGTCAGAAAGCTGAGGATCCAATTACAGAGGGCACAGCCAAGACCAAGGTCACGGCAGTTTTGAGATCAGTCTGGAGGGGATAATGGTGCTGAAGGCGGAGCTGTAGTCAACAAGCACGAGTCTGATGTAGGTGTCCTTGTTGTCCAGATGTTCCAGATGAGTGCAGGGCTAGGTATTTGTCAGCCTTTGTGGATCTGTAATGTCAGTAGGCAAACTGTAGGGGATTGAGGCAGGTTGGGAGAGTTGATGTGTGCCATGACCAGCCTCGCAAAGCACTTCATGACTATTGAAGTCAGAGCTATTAGGCGGTAGTCATTAAGGCACATTGCATGTGTTTTCTTGAGTACGGGGAAGATCACGGTCTTCTTGAAGCAGGTGGGGACTTCAGCTTGTAGGAGGGAGATGTTGAAGATGTCGGTGAACACCTCCGCCAGTTGGTCCGCACAGGATCTGAGTGCTCGGCTGGGGACACCGTTCGGGCCGTTCGCTTTCCTTGGGTTGACTTCCAGGAAGACTGATCTGATTTCTGAAGCGGAGACAGAGGGAACAGGTGCGTCTGGGGCTGTCAGGACAGGCATTGCCACACCGGTGGTATTCTGCTCAAACCAAGCAGGGAGGGATGTGTCATTGTCCGCTATCTTACACTATTTCATTTTGTATGCCATGATGTCGTTTAGGCCGTGCCATAAACAGCAGGAGTCTGTTTGGTAGGTCTGGGCCTCTAACTTGGTCTGGTAGTGCTTCTTGGCCTCCCTGATAGCTTTGCAGAGGTCATATTTGGATTTTCTGTATTGGTTTGGGTCACCCGACTTGAATTCTGCATTTCTGGTCTTCAATACGGAGTGGATTTCCTGGTTCTTCCAAGGTTTATGGTTGGGGAACAGTCGGATTGACTTCTTTGGTACACAGTCCTCCGCACGTTTGCTAATGAAATCCGTGACAGTGGTGGCAAACTCGTCTAGGTTTCCTGCTGGACACTTGAACACAGTCCAGTCCACCGCGTCCAAGCAGTCCCAGAAATGGCCTTCTGCTGCCTCGGACCAGCGTGGACTTCATTTTGTGAAGGATTCACCTGTTTCAGCTTCTGTTGAAACTTCAGCATCTAAGGTTTTGGAGTAGATTTGTAGCTCGGGTTGTGGGTGTTGAGCTTGGTTGGCTCGCCGAGCTGGTTTCTTGTTTCGCAGACGTTTCGTTACCATGCTGGGTAACATCCTCAGTGCAGCCTTCGATGAAGCGTCGGACCCCATATACATTCCACTACGAAGGAAAACCGGAAGTGAGGCAATCCATCTCAAGCGACTCCAGAGTTTAAAAACCAGGCGGGAAAACACACCGACGCTTCATCAGAGGCTGCACTGAGGATGTCATCCAGCATGGTAACAAAACGTCTGCGAAACAAGAAACCAGCTCGGCAAGCCAATCAACCTCAACACTTCAGCAACATCCAGAAGGAAGACCTCCCTTCTTCTCATTCCTAGGTGCCAGGCTTTCAACTCCTCTCTGACGTCTCACTTCCCCATGGTATAGCAGAAGGCTTAGGCACAAACCACAGATCTCTCTCTCAGGACAACCAGCAGTCTCGGTGATGGTTACCCTCAATGTGTAAATAAGTCACACAGTTCATATGATCCATCTCCAATCCTGTCCCCACTGTCTCTTGTTCAGGAAATCTATCACCTCATCAATTAATGGCTCACTCCCAGAAAATCTGAACATCAAGTTTCCCAACAATGGCAGATTTCCAACACAAAAAGAAGGCACAGAGAAAACACAGGCCAGCAAAACCTGCACCGTCTCAGTTGGCTGTATTCCTCTGCGGCAAGCGTTGCAGTAACTATCATGCCAGAGCAGGGCTCCCAAGCCACACCAAACAATGTTTAACACTGAGCTGACCAATATGGTGCAAACCTTCATCTTAGAAGGCAGAAGGCTGCCATCAGCCAAACTAATTGATTTGCCAAATAGTTAGATGTTATTTCACATGAGACAGTTTGGGCTAATCACTGCTTAAGAGGGTTGGCCCTTCTGGTCTATAGAATAGCTTTCATCACAATTGCAGAGATTTAGTAGTTGTATTTCATCTTACAACTAGGGTTTCGGTTTAAGTTTCAATTTGAAGGTTGTGTATTTCACAGTCCTTCTAAATTTATCAATAGGTTGTCTTAAAACACTTCGTGATATTACAATGATTTTTCCATAAATACCCCATGAGGTATTGCTGATAGTCATGAGAGAGAAAGCTAATTCGTATATAGTACATCCTGAAAAATATTTGGAATATTGCGATTTCTGGTGGCTTAGTAACTTCAAACTCCTGTGCTAAGCTCACTCACTGCCACACAACATTAATTTTGCATATATTCAGAAAATAGCTTAACTGCCTACTTTGCACACAATGAGAAATGTCAGAATTCATACCAGAACAAATATCAATAGAATACTAAGAGCTTTGCTCTGCTACAGTGTGAATTCTGATATCAAATATCATATAGTTAGGTTTATTTATACACCAGTCTTTCATTTTTAAGAGGCTTAGTTTCGTTTAGTGACACCTCTGAGATACAGGAAACAATTATGTAAAATCTTTACAGAGGAGATAGAGGCCATTCAGCCCATCGAGTCTGTGCCAACTCTTTGAAGGGCAACCCAGCCTATCCCCACAACCCTGCATTAATCATGGCTAATCCATCTAAACTACACATCCCTGAACACAAAAGGGCAGTTTAACATGGCCATTCCACCTATCCTGCATATCTTTGGACTGTCAGAGGAAACCGGAGCACCTGATGTAAACCCACACAGAAACAGGGGGAACATGGAAGCTTCACCCAGTCAGTCACTTAAGGCTGGAATTGAGCCCAGGTCCTTAGCACTGTGAGGCAGCAGTGCTAACGACTGTGCCACCGTGTCACCTGATGCATCATCTCTAAAGTGATAAAACATTCAAATATGTTTCGCAGAAGCTTATCAAACAGATACAATACCAGGCCACATAAAGAAATGTTAAAAGAGGTGACTAGAACCTTGGATAAAGATGTAGGTCTTAAGAAGTGTCTGACAGGAGAGCAGGGAGGTAGAGAAGCAGAGAAGTGTAATGAGTGAATTCTAGACATTAGGGGCTGAAGGAGCAGAAGGTACAGACATCAATATAGCACGATTGAGAACATACAAGAGGCTAGAAGTAAGCTAGTGTGAATATTGTTAAGGATTATGGAGTTTTTACTCTTTATTCTTTCATGGGATGTGGACATCGTGGCAATGCCAACATTTATTGCCCATCCCATTTGCCCATGAACTATGTCCTCATTCAGTCATTTCAGAGGATATCAATAGTAATCCACATTGCCGTGGGTCTGGATCCGAATGTAGACCAGGCCAGGTAAGGATGAGAGATCTTCTTCCGAGACATTAGTGAACCTGCTGGGTTTTTATGCCAATTGATAATAAGTTTATGAGCACCATTATTATTGACCATCATATTCCAGATGTATTAATTAAACTTAAATTCTACTAGCTGCCTTTGTGGAATTTGAACCCATGTTCCCAGAGCATTAGCCTGGACCTTTCGTCCAGAGACATTATCGCCATCTCTTTAAGAGCTAGAGCTGCTTGCAAAGAAAAAGGGGCATGGAGAGGTTTAAAAACTATGATGAGAAGTTTAAAGTTGACATATTGCCAGACTAGAAGCCAATGTAGGTCAGCGAGTCCAGAGTGATGAGTAAATTTTGCACAATTTAGTATGTGGGCAGTGTAGATTAACTTTTGTTTAGCTAGGGTGAAAGATGGAAGGCCAGCCAGAGGAGTATTGATATAACTAAGTCTAGATAAACAAAGGCATCGATGAGTGTTTCAGCAGGGCACATGTATTGCTTGGAAACAAAATTTTTACATAATAGATCGTTCAGACTGAGAGTGCCCTTGAAATTCAAATGCTTTAGTGTTTAATCACCACCCAAAAAGCCTCGGGTCTAAGTGTTAGATTTACTCATTGTCAAAAAATATCTACTTGGATAGATTAATTGATTTGCTTTTAGCCAGGCTATCACTTTTGTAGGAAAGTTTAATTTGTATTTTTTCCGAAAAGATCAGAAATTGATTTATTTAATCATACCTCAGCTTCACTGGCAATGCCAGATTTTAGAGTTTCTGCCTGTAAAGAGGCTGTAAGCAGTTACAAAATAGAATCAAATTAGTTTTATTATCTTGAGTGATACCTGCTCTGTAGACCACAGATGTTGCATAATTTGTCCAAATTATGATAATCAATTCCCGCAAAAAATTGAAATCCTAGAAAGAAAGAAAAGTAAAAGTAGTGCCTTTGTTTGAAAACTTCTTGCAGAATTAATGTCCTGGGAATATTTCGAGGTGTGTTTGTATTAAATGAAAAGCATTGTATTTGAACTATTAAATGTAACTATTAATTTTAAACAGGGTTGAAACAGCCACTGGACAAATTTACCAATTGGTATTAAAATTGCATTTGCAGTTTCCATGAATCTTACCTTGCCTTGGGGCTCTGCAAAGCAATCTTTCAGAGAATTCATTAGTACTCACAAAACAACATGGACACAAGGCCGTTAAATGCTTGAAATTAGTGACATTAACCACAAAATTGGTCAGAAAACTTTGCTAAAAAGGTTAGAAATGTAGTGCAGATACAGAAGGTGAATACCACAGACAGGAAAAGATCAAAATTTGGCATTGAGATTAATTAAAATTATATCTATTCCAAAGAGTGTCAGAGGGCTTTAACAGGTTGCTTGGTAATTTAGAATAATCTCTGAAAAATAAAAGCAGGGAAAATGGGGTCTAATCACCATCTATGAAAACATGTGGAAATGCCTAATTGGGAGAGAAACCACAGAAGGAAGAACCAAGTTAAATAAGCTTACCCAGCTTAAAAATGTGGTGAAAGCTTTAAGCAGATAGGATATGGTACAATTAGATATTAAGTTTGGTAATTACCAAATTATAATCTATAGAAATGCATTAAAGAAAATTGTAGATTTTACACATTATAAACAGAAAATGCTGAACATTTTCAGCAGGCCTTTCAGCTTCCGTGGAGAGAAAAACAGAGTTTAGCTCAATTTAAGACAACAAGGTGCAGGGCTGGATGAACACAGCAGGCCAAGCAGCATCATAGGAGCAGAGAAGCTG